GGCTCCTTTGACAACTTACTGTGTTGGAAAATCTTTTCTTCAGATTCCTTCACAATCTTCTTCAACTCTCAATGTTACTTGGTAGCAGATCTTTATAAACTTTACCTTTTGATTTTTCTGTTGTTAATTTTAGGATCATTCCAATTTTAGTTCTTTTTAAAAATAATTTTTTAGAAACTCATTTTACTTTACTATTTGCAATTTGTAAACTTATATTTTTTCAAATATAATTTTGTCTTTTTATAAAAAAAGAAAAAGGTTGACATATATGTAGTTTTGATATATTTGTATAATAAAAGTATTAAAAAAATAGGGTTAAGTTTCATCCACCAACTGAAAATATTTTTCCAGTAGCACTCAGCATTTTAAACTAATTTGTGGACCTTAAAGTATTTTTCTAGTAGCACTCGGTATTTTAAGATGTTTTTGCTGCAATTATGCCTTTAAAGTATTTTTCTCAATAGCAATAAGCACCCTATATTTAGGATATTAAGTGCCATTGAAAAATATTTTAGGATATTAAATGTACAAATAATTACTATAAAATAATTTAGGATATTGGGTGCTTTTGAAAAAATATTTTAAAATACTATATGAAGTATAAATTAGTTTAATATATTAAATGTTACTGAAAAAAATATTTTTAGATGTGGAATATAACCTAACTTTAAAAAAATATAGCTAAATTGTTTTTTAGCTAAAGCATAGGTATTCTCTTATTGAAAGCAATCTTATTTGAGGCACTGTTGGGTACTAAATGTGGGTACCTCTCCTAGTGGGGATTCAAATTTTAGTTCACTAAGTTGTAAAAAACTAACTCCTTCTACTAGACCCAACCCTTGTTGGTGTAAATATAGCTAAAGTTGTACTCTTAAGTCCCAATCCAAATTTAAAAAAAAAAAAAAGGGTTTTGCTCCTAATGAGTAGCCCCAGTTTCTAGTGAAAAGGACTACTAGGCTTAGAGGAGGATAACGTTTGGGAAGTGGTCAACATGCGGGCAATGGCATTTGGTGGACGCGCGACCGGGCTCCAGTTCACTTAACACAAAATTTAATAACTACTACAGCTTCTGATACTTAATATAAAATCTCATTTGATTTATATTTTGATTCTAATTATAAGATCTTAATTTATTTTGTCTCTTATGTTTATATATTTTTTTAAGATAGTCCTTCTAATAATAATAGTTTAGCCAATACACTGGATTAGTAATGATATTTTAGAAAATACATCTATTTATTATAAATAACTAATTTAACTTATTTTCTTAATCTCCTCAAATTAGTTAATTAGCTCTTGTAATTAGGATCGAAAATAGTATTTTGGATTCTTAATATAAGAATTAGTTTGACTTTTAATTTGATTCTAAAGATAAAACTTAAATTTACTTTGTATCTTAAATTTATCTATTTTTGCTAAAATAACATATATTAGTTCTAACTAATATACATAATTAATAATAATATTTTAAAAAAATAACACATATATATTACAAATAATTAATTTAATAAATTTTTTTATTCTACTTAAATTAGTTAACTAATTTTTATGTTAACAATAAAAAGTAGCGTAACGTCTAGTTGGCCCAAAAAAAAAAAAGGAAAAGTATCGCCTAGAAAAAAAGCATGCCATTTTCTTTTTGGTCAAGACTCAACAGCTAAGCCAAAAATGTAATTATACTACCTCCGATCTTATTTATAAGAGCTAGTTAACTAATTTAAGAAAATTAAGAAAAAAAGTTAAGTTAGTTATTTGTAATATATAGGTGTTGTCTTTTCTAAAATATCTTTACTAAGTAAGTGTATTGGCTAAAACTATTATTGTTAGAAAGGCTATCTTAGAAAAAAATATAAATATAAGAAATAAAATAATTGAGACTTTATATTTATGATCAAAATAAAAATTAAATTAAAATCTTATATTAAAGATGGAAGTACTATATAAGAATAAAAAACACAAATCGCAAGATATCCTGTCAAACCGACGGCTTCGAGCCTTGAATCATGGCCCACCTGATTTGATTGGCTGGTGGTTTTGGCTATTGATTAATCAACGACATTTGAATTATTTAATTAAAATTTATTGTTTTAACTATCGGACATTAAATTTAGAGAGTTACATTTTTCCTAATTAATTAAACATGATTTTTATAATTTTTTATTCAAGCAATTTAACACCCCCTCCCTTGTGGGGGAGTGGACTCACATGTACACGCTCAACATTATGTAACCATATGAGTATGAGATATCAAACTCACAACTTTCTTTGTAGAGAAAGATGTGTGAGGTGTCATATAAGTGTGTAGTTGGATTAATAGTGGCAAAAGTAATTTTTGTTTTATCTCATTTTTACAAGTATGAGTTAAAGCGAAAATTAATTAGCATAATATAATTTAAAGGTGGATTAACATTTATAAAAGAATTAGTTTGACAAATTAAAACTTTTTCGGATGAAGAATAAAAAAATAAATTTAGATGTGAAATAACTGCAACAATATATATTATTAAATAATATATTCTAAGGGAAATATTAAAATTATAATTATAAAAATAAAAATAATTAATGTTTTATCGGAAAAATTTGAAAATACTGAAGTACTTAAATTTTAGGAAATTTTGGAAAAAAGTTCATCCATTGAAATTTTAATTGGTAAAAAAATTTACTCTGTTTACAAAATTTGCAAAGTGTCGCTACTTTATGTATATGAAAATTTTTCAAATCTTTCTCATCAATTAAATTTTTAAGAAAATTTTTTTCCCAATTTTCTCTAAATTTAATTATTAAATTATTTTGCTTCTTTGTGTACTTTTATAAACATATAATTATTGAGTATTTTTAGAGTAATCCTATTTTCCTCAAGATCATTCTCTTTCATCTCATAGTCATTGTTTTCTCTCTCTTTTCGTTATTCTCTCCAGGGTGGCTTATGAGTTAGGCCCAAGGAACAAAAAACCGGACCGGGGATTCAACCGGTCGAGGCAGCGGGTCAAGGGTCACTGGTCGGACCAGAGGTCGAACCGGGATTGAACCGGTCATATTAAAATAATATAATTTAATTTATAACATCAAAATAGACCAAAATTTATAAATAATAATCAGTCGAAAAATAATAAAAATAACAGGCTTTTATTATTCCCGTGACTCAACATGAGGCAATAATCATTATTCCTATATATTTTATAGCGTCTCTTCAAAAGTTCCCAGTCAATCAAATTTCAAAATTTGGAACGAAACAATACACACCAAACATTAATATTTCTGTACGTACACAGATATATATATATATATATATCTGTATGCTCTATTGTTAAATGTTTTGATTCAAAAAAAAAAATTTAAAATGCAGCATATCATCCGCACTCCACAGTACCTCGCCATTTGGAAAAGGGGAAAACAAAACTTATGCCAAAAATGCTGCAGGATGCCTTTTTTTTTTTTTATGTGGGCAGGATGCATTTCGTGCGAAAAGGATTACATTAGATGTATTTGAAATGCAGCATTTCTCTCCCATCCTAGACGGAGAAGGAGAAGGAGGAACCTCAGACTGCTTCAATGGTTACCAGTACCACCGTGAAGAAGAAATGGGATGGAGAGTCACGAGCTGCTGCTGCAACCTGCAACCAGCAAATCTGATCGAAGAACCGAGAACGATAACCTGCTACTTCGACCAGGACGACATCACGCGAAGACCGGCGACCTCCGATAGCGAAGAAAACGGCTGCTACAATGAGGACTGATTTCGACTAGGGATTTTCAGTCTGGGGAGACGAACGAAAATGGCGAAGCTGAAGGAAATGGTTAGTGAATAGTGATGGACTGATTTCGATTTGAGGATATGGACTTCTGAAGCTGTGCGTTCTCCATTGCTGCCTTGTTTTTCTTTTTCATTTCAACCAGACACCGCGTCGTTTCATCAGCCGAAGGATAGAAAAAATAATAAAAAATTAAAACCGGTCAACCCACTGATGCTACCGGTTTGACTGGGATCCGGTTTTTTCATCAAACCAGACCGGACCAGCCATCGGTTCACCGGTTTTCCGGTTGAACCGGCCGGTCCGGTCCGGTTTTTTTTTCCTTGGTTAGGCCTAAAAGTTACAAATTTTAGCTTTTACTTCAACCATTTGCTCTAATACCAATCCAAAAAATGCTTACCCCTAAATGAGCCCCTAACTCACATTTTGCATTTTTTAAAAAACAATTTGTTGTCCTGACAACATTCAAAACACACGCTAAGTTATAGGTTCTAGACTGTTCTTATAGATTTTAAGAATCATAGAAATAATTATTCATGAATAAGTACAAACTTATTATATATATCATTAATATATTGATTCTACTAAATCACGTAACGCCTAATGCTAATGTTGTCTGAATTATTTCATGCAATTGATGGCAAAAAAAAAAAAAAGGCCTGCAAATGTCCTCATAACTGAATTTTTTGTCACAATTTTTTATCACTGATTGGAATATTGGATTGTAACAATTTATTGATTTTGGAGTTATAACAATTAAATGACTGTCTCAGCACCTTTAAAATATAATGTAATCAAATTAAATAAAGTCAAAACTCAAAATATCAAAACATTAATTCAACACATTTACGCGCAAGGCAAATAAAATAGTTCGATCCATGCATGGAAAATAAACTAGTTCGATCCATGCATGTGTATAAATTATAAAATGTATAGTATATAGATTTTTTTTTTTTTTTTTGAGGTTTGGACAAGTTGCCTTTAAATATTTAATTAATATATTTTGTCAATGAAATTGAAAGTTTAAATAATGCGGGACGAGCGCTTCTTCTTCATTGACTCATTCCATTCAACCTTCCAAGTTCCAAGTCTACTTTGTGTTACTGTCTTTACATTCGTGATATTAATCGATGTCGATTTCCTTCTTCTTCCTCCATCAGTTCTCATTCGATAATGTGTAAATGCCATTAATTTCTTTGCTCATTTCATTCTCCCATCACTTTCTTGCAATTACCAGGTGAGGCAAGGACGATTACACAGATCCCATTGGCGATTGTTTTTTTTTCTTCTATCGTAATTTCAGTATATTACCAATTTAATCATTTTTCTGAAGCCTCTTGTTCTTGTTTCATATTACTCAGATTGAGATTATTGCTCGTTCTTCCTTATCCAATTAAGTTGTCACCAGATCTATTTTGGACCTTTTGCAGCGAAAGAACTGTTGTTAATTACTTCTTACATGGCTCGTTTTAATTTTGGTGAAACTCTATCCCTTGGAGGTTCAAACCATGGACTGGGCGACCTAGTTGCTCCGTTCAAAACCACTACGAGCTCCCTAAGGGTCTTCCTTCTACATGGAAACTTAGAGATATGCGTGAAAGAGGCTAGAAACCTGCCCAATTTAGACATGTTCCATCAGAAAATGGGGGATATGTTTTCCAGATTACCTGGAAAACTTGGTCAGAAAGTTCAAGGGCATATGTCCAATACAATCGTCACTAGTGACCCATACGTGACTGTATCTCTGGCGGGTGCTGTAATTGCAAGAACATTTGTGATCAAGAACGATGAGAACCCTACTTGGATGCAGCATTTCAATGTTCCCGTAGCTCATCATGCTGCAGAAGTACTTTTCGTGGTAAAAGACACCGACATTGTGGGCTCCCAAATCATGGGTGTGGTTGGAATTCCAGTGGAACAGTTATACAACGGCACAAAAGTTAAAGGGTCCTTTCCAATCCTTAATTTTAGTGGGAAACCTTGCAAAGATGGAGCAGTCTTGAGTTTATCCATTCAATACATTCCTTTTGATAAGGTTGCTGTTTATGGTCATGGAATGGGGGCAGGTCCTAGTTATGAAGGGGTTCCAGGTATTGATATGACTTGCCTCAGTGCTATATACCTTCAATTCATCTTCCAATTAGTCCATGTGACTTAATATATTCTAATGCAGGTACATACTTTCCCCTTAGGAAGGGTGGTCGAGTTAGACTTTATCAGGACGCTCATGTTCATGGAGGCTCCCTTCTTCCTAATTTGAAGATGGAAGGTGGTGTGAGTTATGAGCATGGCAATTGCTGGCACGACATCTTTGAGGCAATAAGTCAGGCCCGACGATTAGTATACATTGTGGGGTGGTCTGTGTACTACAATGTTAGACTGGTTCGAGATGCTAGTGATGCTAAACCTTGCACTTTAGGTGATCTTCTCAAAATCAAATCACAAGAAGGTGTGAGAGTGTTACTACTTGTGTGGGACGATCCTACTTCCAGAAGCATGATAGGTGGATATAAAACGGTAAAGAACTTTAAACTATGTTTCAATTTATTTATTTGATTTGATAGGTGGATATAAACTATGTCATGTCATACCATTTTTGTATATCACATGATGGAATTTCTGTAATCAGATTTCTCCCGATTGGGAAAAAATATAGCTGAATTCGTACTGATATTTTCAAACAAGATTGTCTTGTAAGCAACACGGATCAGTGACTATGAGCATGTATTTGATTTTCAATCATTCACCAGACCACGGTTGTTTTATTTCATCATACTCTTCCAAGTTTGGTCTGATTGAGATTAGGTTGATATTTGGCTTTTCTTTAGGTGCTGTATTTGCTTCAAATTTATGGCGACTCTTCAATTTTGCTTACTTCGTGGTTCAGATTATATATTGATCAACTTTTTCCTTGCCTATCTTTGAATTATTATGATTTGTAGACTGGACTTATGAACACCCATGATGAGGACACTCTCAATTTTTTCAAGGGCTCTTCAGTTCAAGTTCTGCTCTGCCCACGTTCAGGTGGAAAAGGACATAGTTGGGTCAAACAACAGGTTAACTGCAAAATGCCATATATGTTTCTTAAATTATTCCGGATACATGTTCTGTTTTTTTTTTTTTTTTTTTTAACTAAAATTGTCAAAGTAACATACTTTCAGCTGATTTTTATTTTTATTACTTTATTCCACCAAATGTAAAATTTTCTCCGAGTGTGATCTTTTTTAGTATGTAGTAGTTAAACATAGATAGTGTAGTAATTTTTTATTGATGCTTGTTAGGAAGCTGGGACCATCTATACTCATCATCAGAAAACAGTCATTGTGGATGCTGATGCAGGCCACCATAAAAGAAAGATTATATCTTTTATTGGAGGTCTTGATTTATGTGATGGCCGATATGATACACCACAACATCCTCTCTTCAGCACGTTGCAGACAACACACAAAGATGACTATCATAACCCTAACTTTGTGGTAAACCATCTATTGATTCTTTTGATCAGATACAACTGAATTATATTCTTATCAGTGAACGTGGTTACAACAATTGATCATCGTTTGAATGATATATGGAGCACAGCCACTTTAATTTTCTCTATAATCATGCCAAGCTGTCATCTATGATGTAATGTTTCATTTGCAAACGAAACAACAGGGGCCTGTTGATGGTTGTCCAAGACAGCCGTGGCATGATTTGCACTCGCTAATTGATGGTCCAGCTGCTTATGACATCCTCACCAATTTTGAGGAGCGTTGGTTAAAGGCATCAAAATTGCATGGACTTAAAAAGATAAAAGGCTCACATGATGATTCATTACTTAAAATTGATAGAATCTCTGATATCCTTGGTATTGCTGATGTTTCATGCTCGAATGATAATAATCCAGAAGCTTGGCATGTCCAGGTATGATTGATTGAAAAAGAATTCTTGCTCCCCATAAGAAACTTGCTCACTCTATATCTATTTTTTCCCCCTGATTTTTTGATAATATTCTTCCGACTGAAGGTCTTTCGTTCTATTGATTCCAATTCCGTCAAAGGATTTCCCAAGGATCCTACAGATGCTATAAAAAAGGTGGAAACTTTCATCCAGCTACTTCCTTGTGTCTTGAAAACTAAGATTTATTATCTGCCTATAAATAGAAACTAATTTTGTCTACCTTGCAACAGAACTTGGCTTGTGGAAAGAATGTACTGATAGACATGAGCATACATTCTGCATATGTCAAAGCTATCAGATCTGCCCAAAAGTTCATCTATATCGAGAACCAATACTTTCTAGGCTCATCATATAATTGGGATTCTCACAAAGACATAGGTGAATATTGAGTTATCTTTGAGACAAAGTTTAAAAGTATTCTTTTAATCCCAAGCTGGAGAGAACCGAAAAATTATTTAAAAGGAGTCCTGCTGAACATCGTAAAGCAAATATTAACTCCCCTTTTTTCAAAAAAAAAAAAAAAAACCATATCCTATACCAGAGAAAATGCTATATGAAGTTTGTTTCCAGTCTCAACATGATAATGTTGAAGGTCTCTAGGTGTATACTTTAACACCTTTAGTTAACTGCCATTTATGTAACCAAGCTAGGGGTAGTAAGCAGACTCTGCTTAGAAACTGAAAAGAAAAGTTAAATCAGGGGGAATAATTAGTGTATAGCAGTGGTTGTTTTGCCCTAAGCATCCAACATATTATGATCATTTCCTCCCTCTTTTGATACAGGTGCAAACAATTTAATTCCCATGGAAATTGCTCTTAAAATAGCAGCCAAAATCAAACAACACGAGAGATTCGCCGCTTACATTGTCATTCCTATGTGGCCTGAAGGTGTGCCAACAAGTACAGCTACTCAGAGGATTCTCTTTTGGCAGGTAGACTTCTCTTAACACAACTCATTAACATCAGTGAGTTTGATTCCTGCTTTTATTCCAGTAACACTTGTTGCTTTCTGCAGTATAAAACAATGCAAATGATGTACGAGACAGTTTACAAGGCCTTGCAGGAGGCTGGACTTGACAATGAGTATGAACCACAGGATTACTTAAATTTCTTTTGCCTCGGCAATCGTGAGGCCCCAGAAAACCAAAACATTGTAATTGCTAGAAATCCTGCTGGATCAAACACTCCTCAACCGCAGGTATATTCCTGATCATATGAAATGAACTTTGAGCTTTCAACTACTCAATCTATCACAAGTATGATGTTTCATCGCTGTCAAGTTCATGTTTGTAAAATTTGGTGATGTAGGCACTAACCCAAAAAAACCGGCGATTCATGATTTACGTTCATTCAAAAGGAATGATAGTGGATGATGAATATGTCATAATGGGATCTGCAAACATCAACCAACGATCCATGGAAGGAACCAGAGACACAGAGATAGCAATGGGGGCATATCAGCCTCATCATTCTTGGGCAAGCAAGCGCTCTAGACCTCATGGACAGGCAAGATTCATAAACTGAAAAGTTGTTTGGTTTTAATCGTTCTATGCAATTGGGTGTTGTTGCTTTTTTTTTTTTATTGGCTATCTAACTGGGGCAAATTCAAGCATTATCTGGCCCAACTGGGGTTAGCTCTCCCAATTGGTGTTGTCACTAACTTGGAGAATTAAATGGATTCATTCAGGTGTATGGATATAGAATGTCACTATGGGTTGAACATATTGGAGGCATTGAGGAATGCATGAAGGAACCAGAGAGTGTTGAATGCGTGAGACGGGTCAGGCGCTTGGGCGAGCAAAACTGGCGAGATTACACAGCTGAAGAGGTAACAGATATGAAGGGGCATTTATTGAAATACCCACTTGAAGTTGATTCAATGGGGAAGGTGAAGCCTCTTCCTAGCTGCGAGACATTTCCTGATCTTGGTGGAAACATCAATGGCAGTTTTACTCTCATTCAAGAAAATCTCACAATTTGATTTTCATACTCTTCAAGTACAAAGTGCTTATTTGCAGCAGTTGAAGTGAAGGATTTATTTGTACATTTTTGCTTTCTATTTTTCAGATTAAACCTACTTTAGGAGGTTAGAAGATTACACTATAGATCCATTTGCCATGGAATGTGTTCTGTAGCCTTTAGGGGTTATGAAATGATCAAATGTAGAATAGTTTTAATTTATGATATCTTTATTACAGTTGACCCCATTGAGTTTTGTTTTATACTCATACTATGCATAATGTGCACTTACATTAATTATCACATCCTCTGTCATTCAATAAATTACTACGTATTTTTTGTCAACTTTTTTTTTCCCCCACATCCTCTCTCACCCTCCATAAATAAGGGTTAAATAAAGGCGGCCCAAAGTAGAGAGGCTATTTTCAAAATTTGAACCTATGACCTCCAAATCACATGGCAACAACCTTATTGTTGCTCCAACGCTCATCCATAAGTAAAAGTATATTTGGAGGGAAAAAAAATTCTTATACATTATTATTTTTAACTAAAATTTTAATTCAGGTGGTTTGATTAGTCATAACTTGTATTTTTTCCTTCCCATATAGAAGAATGAGTAATCCTTAAAATATACAGAAATTAAATGGTAGAGGAATTAAATTCTAAACAGTCTTTTTTTCTACACCACCAAGCATGTCATAAAGCTGCAAATGTTTAAGTCCCTTCTTTGCTAAACCATTTACACATTAGTATTTTATTTGCCGCAAGCATTTCCTTACATGTATAGTTTCTAAAAACACTAAACTATCATGTCACAAAAAAAAAAAAAAAACGCTAAACTATCAATATTGTTGTTGAGTAACTACTCCATTAATTCTGCCTGCGAGCATATTGGAGATCAAATCTATATAAATCAGGGGGTGTTTAGATAAATTTAATAAAATGAGAGTATTTGAATAGATTTTGAAAGAATAGATTTTGTGAAAAAAAAAGTAATTTTAATAAAATGAGAGTATTTGAATAGTTGTTATCAGAAGTAGTTTTTTAGATACAAATTACTTAAAAAGACATAAGTTAATATAATAATTATATGAAAGATATATTTTAATTTATACTTTTATTTGAAGTAATAAATTTGTTAATAATTTTTTTCCAACATAATAAATAATATATAACAAATATAATTAATTAATTGTTAATATGTGTATATATTTATAAAATATGTTTTTAGAAAAATGAATAATTTTTTTTGCCAACAGAAAAATATTATTTTACCTTAAATAATGAAGTGTCAAATGAGTAAGGAGAAAGGTGAAGGCATGAAGCATTTGATTTTTGCTGAACGGTTTTCCTGCATATTTACCGTTGGCTTACTTTTGACACCATAATCATTAAGGCACGACCAGATTAAGGAGGTGTTTGGATAAAAGTCAAACCATAATTTTAGAAGTAATTTTATGTTATACAAAGTAAATATGTAAAGAAATTTATCTCGATTTGTGAAAAAATGCTTTTAAAAAGTCCTTATTGAGATATCCAAATGGCCCCTAAAACATTTAGGAAGTGAAATTTTTTCATGAAACCATGGTCTTGATGGGGCAAACCATGGTTTGGGCTTTAAAAGTATTTTTCCCAAGTTTGCCAAACACCCCCTAAACATGTATGATCTATAGTTAGTGAAACATCCTTCTACTTATCTCCTTAGGTATGCGTCCAAAAGCATTATGGTTTAAGCAGATCATAAAATAAGCTCATAAATTGGAAATTTAAAATATGATTCTTGGATTACTATTTACTAATAAATTTTAAATTTTTGGTCTAATTTGAAAATTTATAACTAATTATAGAAAAATTGTATTGAGGTGATTTAAGTTTTCTTTAAAGCTCTTTCAATTCTATAGAGGAAAAAATATTCATTAGTTTATTTCCTTGCTCATTCACTACAGAATTACATGTAAAGTTGTACTGTTGATTTGGTCAAATAGTGTATTTTCATATTCTTTGCCTTGACTTTGAGCAAGCATATCTTTTATAACACACATACATTATAGGTGATCTACCACTTGTTTTAAAGCTTAGATATGTAATAACTGTTTACTAAATTTCATGGGTAGATTCATTTGTTTACCATACATTTACTCTATCTCAAGATCATGGCGCATAATGGTAAAACCTATTCTTTTATTTGCATTAACATGCTATAAAATTTCTTTGTGTTGTATGCTATCATCCCAACATACCATGGATTATTTTCATGTATTATTATACTCATTCCTACATGCCAATATCATTATTTATCTTCATGTAATATCATAGGTTTCTTCGTTACATACATCATCATAATGGAATTCATAACATGTCACAATGTATTTCTCAATCTCTTCTCTTCATTCTACAATTCCATATCTTGAGTTCTTCTTCCTTGCTCATAGAATCTATTATAGTTAGTTAAAGGAGGGTGAGATTTGAGAGAATCTCAATAGCAAACAATAAGTACCCAAGCATACAAGGCATAGCTTGACATTCATAACATGTTTGCAAACTTCACATTTTTATAACATAATGACATATTTAGAAACTATCATGCATTAAATATAAATAACATAGATTTATGGTATACTTTAAACATATTTACATTCACAATGCATGAGTTCATAAAAATCACATAACATACAAACATGCTATACATGCAAGTAAATACCAAGCACATAAGGGTAGGGTAAAGTTTGCTATTTTTAGCCTTTTACATTCAATCTTTCCTCTTGCTCTCTTTGCTTTCAACCATCAAAGATGCTTGATTAACCTTTTCCATTCATCTTCCTTGATATCACATGACCCTAATCATATTAACACATCATTGCCCTTCATTTATTAGAGCCATGGAATCAAAGAAATTCATACTTTGCTCTTTAACATACTTTAACCTCTAACTTTTAAGCTTTAATTTCAATCTTTCTAAAATTAATTCATGCTATTTGTCACAACCTAATTTTTAGGCCTAAAAGTCCATAAAGTAGCCTAAAAAAGATAGGCTACCAAGCCCCTTTGAGCAGAAGTCCAAAGATGTGAAAGGAGGTTAGAACGGGAATAGAGACTAAACTATAAAGTGAGAAAGTTTCTAGAGGTAAAAATATAAATAAAGTCAGGGGTTCCAGAAAAGTCTCAAGGGCTCAGAAAGAATAAAGAGGTTAGTTAAAGACCTAAGGTTGAGTTACATGCCTCAAAGATGAGATTTATGAGATTTAGCCCAAACAGGGACTAAATTGTAATTTTTAGAAAGTCACGAGCCAATAGGGGTAATTATAAAAAATATGTAGAAAATTTTAGAAAATGGGAAATGAGGTATGAAGGCTCATTCAAGGTTCATAAATGATGAAAATACCCCTACAGTAGCTTTAATGGAATTTTCAGTATAATGATTCAGTTTGAGGTAATTATTTAGATGCAATTATTCTAGCCATGAGGAGGCCTAAAAAATGTACATAAAAATAGGGATAACGTGCCTTGGGAATTACATGACATTGTACAAGTAGTTTTATGCCCAGAATATCCCTAGAAAAATTATAAAGGAATTTAAGGGCTAATTAAGCTAATTAGGATATTTATTTGGAAAATTTCAAATAAATACTTTCAAGGATAATTAAATCCTGAGAAAATTCACAAGGTGTCCTTAGGAATTATAAGGGATTATGAAGCAGAAAGAAGCCCCTTAAATGTTCAGAAATTCTAGAAATGTCTTCCTGAGTAAAGAAGCTACTATGATAATTTAAATAGTTTTCTTCTTTACTATTAATAGAAAATTATGGTGGTAACAAAGGAGGGCATTTTGGGAAGAAAAAAATAATAAGAATGTATTATGGATTTGACAAAAAATAATTACAGTGGTGAGGATACGGTAATTATGAAATAAAAATTATTTTCAGTGTAAAGTATTCTGTTAAAGCATAAAGTGTTTTCTTGACTTTTACTTTGCCTGCATTGTGCCACTTGTCAAGCTATGAATATAGAGGATTATTATGCCACTTATCAAGCCAAGAAAGGAGAGGACTTTGACTTTAGAAAATCAATTTAGTTTCGATTTATTTTAAGGATGGAAATTAAGTAAGAAGCTTTGACAAGTTGACACCTAAGCATTGTAATTAGTGTGAACTTGGATGGTAAACAATTAAGTCTTGGCTTATAAATAACCATCTCCCTCCCTCACATTCTCACATTTCAGCCAACATAGGGGGAACTCTTGCCATTTATTTTCTTAAAGATCAATTAAGGAGAAGCTTTCTACTTTGATACTCAACCTTGAATACAAGGTTAGTTTGAGGTTCTACCACTACTACAAATTGGGGAATACTTGACGCTAAATATTTGACGGTTATCACAAAAACCGTCAAATATAATCCCCCGCCAGAAAACTTGATGGTTTCTAATGAAACCGTCAATTTTAGTAGAACAATAATTGACCGTTTCTTTGAAACCGTCAAGTATTCCACAAAATACTTGACGGTTATTTTACAACCGTCAAGTATATTTCAGGTAAAATTGACGGTTTAATGAGAAACCGTCAAGTTTAATAATACTTGACGGTTTTGCTTTAAAACCGTCAACTATTCTTTGAGAATACTTGACGGTTATTAATAGAAACCGTCAAGTATTGTGTTTAAAAACCTGTCCCTTTCGCTGTTCAGTCTCTTCAGTTCAAAATTTCTAGCGCCCCCTTCCGCTTCGGACTCTCCAAGCCGCCATACCCACCTCTTTTTCTGCCGTTCCCTTTTGCTTTTTTTGCTCGTCCTTGCTCGTCCTCCATCATCGTCCCTCTCGATGTCGTCCATTATCGTTGCGGCATCCTCCTGCTTCGTCGTTGTCGTGCATTCTCCAGATTGTCATTTCGGCTTCAGGTTGGTAATCCTTCACTCGCTCCCCTTATTTCCTTTAGTTCTTCCTTTGAGAAATGATTGTAGTGGAAAGGGAATGATAGGATAACGCTAGGACCGTTCACCATGCACACACGGAAAATGGGTTTTGTATTTGGCCGAATGGGTTTTTTTTCTGTTCTTGATTCTAAATGGGTGTTTCGCATTTTGATCAGTTTGGGTTTAGGGTGTTTTAGTTTTTTGTTTTCGCCATAAAGTCTGGGGAATGCAATGCTAATGTTTCAATTTTTGTTTTTGTAATTGAAATTGACCATGTGCTGGTTTGGTTTTCTGCCATAAAACCTGGGGAATCCTAAGTCATAAGCCGTTATGCTGCCGAATTTTTTTCAAATGGA